ATCATAGGCCCCAAACACAATATTTCCACCCCAGATCTCTTTTCCTACCCAATTTCAACTTATTCTTCTTCGTCCTTCTCCTCTTCTCCTTTTCTTCTTTTTCTTTTTCGTTTTTACCCCATCTCCTTCCCTCACTTCCTCCAATCCTTCCCTCGATCTCAGAAGGAGGGACCTCCAGCAACAGGACCCTCCCTTTTCGTCCTTCCCTCCCTTCCCTTTCCCTTCTCGCTTCTTCCCTCCCTTCCCACCCCTTCTCGCCATTCCCTCCCTTCCCCAATCCTTCCCTCCCTTGCTCGAACTCAGAAGGAGGGACCACCAGCACCCTCCCTTCCCCCTTCTCGCTTCTTCCCCCTTCCCCCACCCCTCGCCACCTTTCCCAATCCTTCCCTCCCTTGCTCGAACTCAGAAGAAGGACCACCAGGACCCTCCCTTCCCCTTCTCGCTCTTTCCCTCCCTTCCCCCAGCCTTCCCTCCTTCCCCACCCCCTCCCTTTCCTCCCCCCAATCCTTCCCTCCCTTGAACTCAGGAGGGCCCCACCAGCCCCAGGACCCTCCTCCCTCCCCGCCCGCACAGGAGCTCCACCCGGAATAAACATTACCAGAGCGTTTCCAGCTCCTCTCTAACTTGGTGTAGCACTTAAAGAGACTCGGACAAGCGCTTTTCTAAGATACTAAACTCGTTCCGGCCGGTCTCTCTCTCTTCTCTCTCTCTCTCTCTTCTCTCTCTCTCTCTTCTCTCTCTCTCTCCTCTCTCTCTCTCTCTCTCTCTCTCTCTCTCTCTCATTTTTTTGGGGGGATATGTCTTCTCTCGCTCTTTTCTTTCTCTTTTTTCTCTTTTTCTCTTTTCTTCTCCTTTTTCTTCCTCCCCTCCCTCCTCTTCTCTTTCCCCTTTCCTCTCTCTCTCTCCCTCCCTTCTCTTTCTCTTTCTCCCTCTCTCTTTATACGCCCGTTCATCGGTGTTCCTCCAAAGGCGCCCCAGAAACGCACAAGGTCGGAATTGTTCCAAATTTTCCTGAAATATAAGACTTATGTCATCCGTTCTCCCCAAAACATGTATTATCGATCAGGTGCATGCGACTTTGAACCGTATGGGCTTCGTGTGGTGTGAGTACTACGTTCTTTGTGCTTATGTTGCTAGGCTTTATTGTAATTTTCTTTATCATTATCATCACTATTATTATAATTATCATTATCATTATTATTATCATTATTATTATTACAATCATTATTATCATCGTTATTATTATTATTATCATCATTATAATCATCGTTATTATTATCATTATTATCATCGTTATCATTATTATCATTATTACCATTATTATTTAATAACACTTGGACAAATCTTCATCTCTCCTCCTCTCTCATCCCTCATCTCTCTTTGTCTTTCTCCTTCTCTTTTTTAACTGTCACTATGGTAAGGTATTGTTACAATATCGTTTGATCGCAATGACGCCTCACATGCCCTTGTATGGCGTAATTGGAAGAAGAAGAAGAAAAGAAAAAAGAAGAAGAGGGAGGAGGAAGAAGAAAAAGGGAAAGAAAAGGAGGAAGGAGGAAGAAGAATAAAAAAAAAGAGAGGATGAGGAGGAGGAGAAGGAAGAGGAGGAAGAAAAAGACGAAGAATAAGAAGAAAAAGAGAGGAGGAGGAGGAGGAGAATTAGGAGGAGAAGGAAGAGGAGGAGGAAGAAGATGAAGCCGAAGAATAAGAAAAAAAATGAAAAAAGCAAAATGATAATATATGCATCAGATATCTTAAAGAATCGACTCGCACCTTCCTCTCTCCATTCTTCTTTACATACATCTCCAACACTCGATTTCCACCACCAACGCAGCTCACCACCACTTTCTTCTTCCGGCCACAATACCACATCTAAACCGCATACCACAATACCAACATACTCTTATACCAAATCCCCACTTTGTCCTTTACCCCATCTCCTTCCCTTTGCTCTTTCTATTTTCTTTTTCTTTCCTTTCCTTCCTCCTTCCTCTCTGGCCACAATACCAACAGACTTCCATACCACCCCCCACCCCCCTGTGGCAGCAAATACGAAACTTACTCCCATACCCACACACCCTCCCCCTCCCACTACCAACATACTCCATACCACACACCCTCCAACCTCCCCTCCCCCACTCTGGCCACAACACCACCATACTCCCATACCACACACCCCTCCCCACCCCAACCCCTCCTCCCCCCTCTCTGTGGCCACAATACGCTCCCCCTCCACTTCGTTTTCTCACTCGCCACTTCTACCGCTGCTCTCCCTCCTCCTCGCCCCGCCTCCCCTGAGAGTGTGCCTTCCCTTTACTCTTTGTTCTACGCTCTCACTCTCTCTTTCTCTAAAACATATATTTTTTATTCTCTTTCTCTTTTTTTCTCTCTCGTTCTTCTTAAATACGTTTTTTTTCTTTCTTTTTTCTCTCTCCTTCTCCTTTTTTTCTTTTGACTCTCGCCTTCTACTTCTTCTTTGTCTTCTTTTCCTTTTCATTTTTTCTCTTTCTCCTTTTTTCTATTTCTTTTGATTCTCGCCTTCTACTTCTTTGTCTTCTTTTCCTCTTTCTTTCGTTCTTTCTTCTTCTCTCTCTTTGGCTATTGCTGTTGCCCTCGCGTTGAATTAATCATCGTCTTCGTCTCTCTATGCTATTTGTCTTCTTTCTATCTTTCATTTGTTCTTCTTTGTCTCTATTTACTCTCCCGATCCTCTTACCTTCTCGTCTTTCTCCTCCCCTATTTCCCCGATTCTTTACTCGTTTTACTTCCCTCTGTTCTTTCCTTCTTTCAAAATATTATTTTTCGTGTGTGTGTGTTCTCTTCGTCTATTCTCTCCAGTCTCTCTTCCTCCCCTTTTGGTCTTCACAATGCCATCCGCCATACCTTTCTTTTTTTCTTCTCTCTCTCTCTCTCTCTTCTCTCTCTCTCTCTCTCTCTCTCTCTCTCTCTCTCTCTCTCTTTCAGCAAAATCCCTCTCCTCATCCCTCCTCCCTCCTCCTCTCGCTAAGACCCACCCTCTCTTACCCCAACACCAACACCCCCATTCCCTCTATCCCCTCCCCATCCTTCCCCACCACCACCTACTCCCCACTAACCCCCTCCCGGCCCATCGGCCCCTCCCCCTTTCCACCTCCCTCCCCCCCCCCCCCTCCCCTTCCCTCCCTTCCCATCCCCCCCAACCCCGGCGTTACTCACTGCACTAAAAAGCCGCGGAGGAAAGTTTGCCCTCCAGTTGAAAACGATGATAAAACTTGGCCAGTGCGGCTGTAAAGAGATATGGATCCGCATTTAAATTCCAGGAGGTCCTTTAGTCTGGAAACTAACTTCTTTTCCCCCTTCTCTACGTCTTTCAAGAGGTAAGATGATTATGCAAAATATTTGGGAGTGAGAGGGAGAGGAGAGGCGAGAGCGGAGAGAGAGGGAGAAGGGGAGGGAGGAGGGAGAGGAGGAGGAAGAGAGAGAGAGAGAGAGAGAGAGAGAGAGAGAGAGAGAGAGAGAGAGAGAGAGAGAGAGAGAGAGAGAGAGAGAGAGAGAGAGAGAGAGAGAGAGAGAGAGGAGAGAGAGAGAGAGAGAGAGAAAGAGAGGAGAGGGGGGGGGAGGAAAGGGGAAGGGAAGGAGGAGGAGGGAGGGAGAAAAAATGGAGGGAAGGAGAGAGAGAAAGTGAGAGGGAGGGAGGGAAGGAGGGTAGGATGGGGGTAATTGTTCCATCTCGTCTATTGTGTGCATGGTAACTGAGATTTTTATAGTAACGATTAAATTTCACATAAACTCTAGAATCCTATATAAGAAAAAAAATCCACACTACAACAATTAAAATAAATAAATAAAACAACAATTAGAAAATAAATAAATAACCAAAAAAAAAAAAAATAAAAATCAGAATCAACACTATCAAACCCTCGTCTCCCACGCCCGCCCGCCGCCCGCCCGCCCATCCTAAGACCCCTGTCCATCACCCTCCACGCCTCCACCGCCCCAACTCCCTCATCCCCCCCCCCGACCCTTTCTAACCCCCCCTCCCCCTACACACACCCCACCCCTCCATCACGGCTTGACTAACCCTTCCTCTGACGCCCAAACTTTCTGACTGACCTCTGACCTTTCACCTTTATTACTCGTCAACACAAGACCTACTACCAACGGGCAAGGGAGGGGCGGATGCAGGTACCGTAGCAGATCCCCTGGGGCATCTCTGGCGGGGTTGTCTCGGGTGGAGGTGGTTTATGGGGGGGGGGGAAGAGAGAATGATGGGGAGAGGAGAGAGAATGGGGAGAGGAGGAGAGAATGGGGAGAGGAGAGGAGAATGGGGAGAGGAGAGAGAATGGGGAGAGGAGGAGAGAATGGGGAGAGAGGAGAAGAGAATGGAGAGAGATGAAAATGGGGAAGAAGAGAATAGGGAAGAAGGAGACAATGGGGAGAGAAGGGAATAGGGAAGAAGGAGACAATGGGGAGAGGAGAGAATGGGTAAGGCAAGAGATTGGAAGAGGATGAGATTACGGGTAAGAGAGAGACGTCAGAAAAGTTCAAATGAAACAGATATAGAGGAGAGGAGAGGGAGGGAGGGAGGGGGGGGGGTAAGGGAAAGGGAAATATTCAGCAATAAGCAGTTTAACATCAGAGGCAAAGCGGCTTATCCCTGAAACACACGACAGTACCGTACTCTCTCTCTCTCTCACTCACCTCCCTCTCTCTCTCTCTCTCTCTCTCCTCCCTCTCTCTCTCTCTCTCTCTCTCTCTCTCTCTCTCTCTCTCTCTCTCTCTCTCTCTCTCTCTCTCTCCTCTCTCTCTCTCTCTCTCTCTCACACACTTTTGCGCACCCTCCCCCTTCCTCCTCCCTTCCTCCTCTCCCTCTCTCCCTCTCCGCACCCTAATCCCTAGTCAATAATCAAGGTAATATTAATACCGGCATTCTCTTTACCTTGTGCATGCTGAAGAGCGTATTGGATTCCCGTGCTTACCTGGGGAGGGAAAAAAAGAGTAATGATTTAGTATACAAGCCATCAGAGGGGTGTGAGTTGAAGCAGGTTTTCAATGATATTGATTATGGCGGTGGTGGTGGTGCTGTGGTAGTGGTAGGAGCGTTGTGGTAGTGGTGGTGAGGATGGTAGTGAGGTGCTATGGTAATGGTAGGAGCGGTTGTGGTAGGTGGTGGTGAGGATGGTAGTGGTGGTGGTGCTATGGTAATGGTAGGAGCGGTTGTGGTTTGGTGGTGAGAATGGTAGTGATGGTGGTGCTTTGGTAATGGTAGGAACGGGTGTAGTAGTTGGTGGTGAGAATGGTAGTGATGGCGGTGCTATGGTAATGGTAGGAGCGCTTGTGGTGGTGAGAATGGTAGTGGCGGTGGTGATGCTGATATCAATAATAGTAATGGCAATACTTAAAAATAACGAGAACAATAATCATAATAACAACAATAATAACAATAATAATGATGACACCAAAGAGAAAAATAGTAATAATAATGATACTCATCCTGAATAATGATGACAATAACAACATCAACAACACAAAATAGGAAAATTCATACCAACGGCAGTAAAAATATTCATAGTTCTCCCTCTATAACAAAACCGAACGATGATGGAGACACAGACAATAACTTAATAATAACGATCATAATTCATCACCTGAACTGTCTCTCTATCCTAAAGCCATCATGCCACCCAACTGATCATTTTAGAGAATGTATATCAATATAAATACCATGGCAGTATACCTATTCTTTTACCCCCTAACTTGTCATCCCTCTACCCTATCCCACGCTAATTAGCTTGGCCGACCTCTTCTATCCCCGGAGGCTATCCCACGTCTATTCCATGCATCCCCCGCCCCTTTCACCAGCCTGTCATCCTCCCTACCTTAACGCACGTCTATCTACCTATCCTCTTGCCTTCAAGACACCCCAAATATCTATCCTCCATCCACTTGAGGTTCTCAGATCTATCCATCAATCCCCTGCCCGCTAACGTCCACTAACCCTCTTTCCCTATCCCAACCACGTCTACCCATCTATCCACATCCCCGGGCCTCTACCATCCACTCCAGCATCCCCACGTCTATCTACCTATCCGCATCCCCCTCCTAGCCCCTCCTACCCCGCCACCATCCACTCTAGCATACGTCTATCCTATCCGCCATCCACTCTAGCGCCTATCCACCATCCCCCCTTCCCCTCCTAGCCCCCGTTGTACCGCCTCAAGCCATCCCCGGCGCCTATCCCCATCCACTTCAGCTCCTCGAGCGCGCCGAGGTGGGGAGAGAATTTCAAAAGAGAGAGAGAGAGAGAGGAGAAGAGAGAGAGAGAGAGAGAGAGAGAGAGAGAGAGAGAGAGAGAGAGAGAGAGAAGAGAGGGAGGAGAGAGGAGAGGAGGGAGGGAGGAGGGAGGGAGGGAGGAGGAGAGGGAGAGAGAGAGAGAGGAAGGGAGAGAATTTCAAACAGAGAGAGAGAGAGAGAGAGAGAGAGAGAGAGAGAGAGAGAGAGAGAGAGAGAGAGAGAGAGAGAGAGAGAGAGAGAGAGAGAGAGGAGAGAGAGAGAGAGAGAGGAGAAGAAGACTCCACCAGAATCTCGAATCTTCAAATGATTAAAGCGTGCGTGTGTAGGGGGGCGGGGGCGGGGGGAGGGTGATGAGGATGTGGGGGAGGAGGTGGAAGGAAGGAAGGATGGATGAAAGGAAGGAAGGAGGGAAGGAAGGAAGGAAGCAAGGGGAAGAGTGGGAAAATATGAGTGACAGGTTGATGTTTTTTTTTTTTTTTTCCCTCCCCCCCTTACCCCCCAGTCTCATTCTCTATCTATTTCTGCCTCTCTCTCTCCTCCTAATACTTCTCCCTCTCCCTATCCCCTCCTCCTCATTCTTCTCCTCTCTCTCTCCTTCCCATCCTCCTCATTTTTTCACCTCTCCTTCTCCTCATTTTCCTTCCTCTCCTTCTCCTCCTCATTTTTCTCCCTCTCCCTCTCCTCCTCCTCTTCTCCCTCTCCCTCCACTCTTATCTTGGTCGACAAATGCCTCATTCCTAATTGAATATCAGACCAACCACTACTGCCAAATTGTAGGTCTTAAGGCATTTGTTTCTCTCCCGAAGATAGTGCTGCGGTCGTGGTGAGCGGGATGGTGACTGGCGTTATGGTGCACCTCACTGTCGCTGATTCAATTGCTCTTGTACATGAGCTACATTTTAAGGGATGTAAAGTTGTGCGTTTTTTTTTTTTTTTTTTTTTTTTTTTTTTTTTTTTTTTTTTAAGGGACAGGTAGATGTGTGTTTCTTGAATTTGAAGGGATATAAAGATGTGTGTTTAATTTCTTTTAAGGGATATTAAGATATATGCTTAAATCATGTTAATTGATATATAATGGGCATCTATTGATCTTTAATGGATATGAAGGCGTTTGTTAAATTTGAAGGGACGTAAAGATGCGTGTTTAAATCCTTTTAAGGGATATCAAGATGTATTTCTTAAATTTTAGGGGATATTAAGATATGTGTTTGAATCATGTTAAGGGATATAAAGATTTGTTTATCAAGTTAAGATATATAAAGATATTTTCCTTAAATTTTGAAGGGATATAAAGATATGTGTTTCTTAAATCAGAAGGGATATAAAGATGGGTGTTTCTTATATTTTAAGGGATATTAAGATATATGCTTAAATCATGTTACGGGATATAAAATTGCGCATCTATTAATCTTTAATGGATATAAAGGCGTTTGTTAAATTTTAAGGGATATTAAGATATGTGTTTAAATCATTTTAAGGGATATAAATTTGTGCGTTTCTGAAATTTGAAGGGACATAAAGATGTGTGTTTCTTATATTTTAAGGGATATTAAGATATGTATTTAAATAATGTTAAGGAATACAGAGATGTGCGTTTACTAAACTTTAATGGATATAAAGGTTTTTATTAAATTTTAAGGGATATAAAGATGTGTTGATGTGTGCATGTATGTGTGTATTTAAAATATATACGGATGAGTTGATAGATAGGAAAATAGATACATATACACATCCTTAAATACACAACCAGACTGATAGATAGATAGACAGTGATAAATAGTCTGCATAAAGAAAGAAAAGGAAAACAGAATGAGACGGAGAAGAATTGGAAGAAAAAGTTGAAAGCTGAAACAGATATATGGATTCCGATGGACAAGAGATGTAGCCCATCCCCCTCCCCTCCCCTCCCTCCCCTCTCTCTCTCTCTCTCCCCACCCATCCTTCTCCTCCTCTCCCTCCCTTCTTCCTTCCTCTCTGCCTCTCCTTCCCTCCCTCCATCCTTCCCTCCCTTCCCCTCCCTCCTCCTCTCCCTTCCCTCCCCCCTCAGGACAAAGACCCGCCATCCCCCTCCCTCCTCCCCACACCACCCTCCCTTCCCCCTCCTCCCCACCATCCCCCATCCCACCCATTCGTAATCCGCGGAGTCTCCGAGCGCCGACGCCGCCCGCCCCGCCCGCCCGCCCACCCGCCCGCAGTGTGTCGGGCGCGCGAGGACGGGCGTCGGATTCGCGCGCGCCGATTAGGCAAAGGGCGATCGATCTCTGCAAATGGAAGGCCGATTCGCGACACCCATTTACCTTTTCTCTCTCTCTTTTTCTCTTTTTTTTTTTCTCTTCTCTCTGTCTCTCTGTTGTCTGTCTGTCTCTCTCTCTGTCTGTCTGTCTTCTCTCTCTCTCTCTCTCTCTCTCTGTCTTCTGTCTTCTTCTTCTTTCTTTCTCTCTCTCTCTCTCTCTCCTTTTTTTTAGTCGACGATCGATTTATCCGTTTATTTGTCTGAGTATTTATCGAGTATGGTTTTATTTTTATTTTTTTGTGGTTCTCTGGATATCTCTGTTGGCTCTTCTCTGTCTGTGTCTGTCTCTCTTTCATCTCTTTGACTTTTTTCTGTGTTCTGTCGGTATCTCTGCTTGTCTGTCTGTCCTACTTCTTTATAAACATCGTCTTTTTTCTGTGGTCTATCGGTATCTCTGCCCTGTCTTTCCTCTCTCTCTCCTTAGCTTCTTATTCTCCCTATGATCTCCTCTCGCTATCTCCATTTGTCTGTCTGTCCGTCTCCCTCTCTCTTCTCTCTCTCTCTCCTATGATCTCCTCTCGTTATCTCCATTCTGTCTGTCTGTCCTCTCCTCTCTCTCTCTCTCTCTCTCTCTCTCTCTCTCTCTCTCTCTCTCTCTCTCTCTCTCTCTCTCTCTCTCTCTCTTCTCCTCTCTCTCTCTCTCCTATGATCCCTCGCTATCTCCATCTGTCTGTCTGTCTGTCCCCCTTTCTCTCTTCCTCTCTCTCTCTCCATCTATTCCTTTCATTCCGCATTTTTTCTCGAGCGGCGGAGTTGGAACACACGAAGAGATACGATAGAGCGGCGGGGGGTTCTCCGGCGTATCTGATGAGGGCGCATAAAAGACACGTTCAGAACGGCCATGCGTGCGCGTACTTCAGGAGCCGCGGCCGGAGAGGGAGACGGAGGGAATCGGATACATCTTACGGGGAAAATACAGCGAAATGGGAAGCGAAGGGGGGAAAAAAGAGGGGAGAAAATGGAGTAGGGAATGAGAGAGGGAGAAAAAAGGGAGTAAGAGAAATGAGAGAGGGGATAAAAATGGGAGTAAGAGAAATGAAAAAGAGAGAAAATGGGATTAAGGAAAAAGAGAGAAATGGGAATAGAGAAATGGGATAAAAATGGGAATAATGGAGTAAGGAAATGAGAGAAGGGATAAAAATGGGAGTAAGGAAAAAAAGAGAGAAAATGGGAGTAAGGAAAAAAAAAGAGAAAATGGGAGTAAGGGAAATGAAAGAGGGGAGAAAAATGTGATCAATAGAGGCTCAAGTAAGGACGCAGAGAAAAGGGGGAAGGGGAATCCGCAAAGGGATCTTGCAGATTACTGAAGGAGTCCCAAGATAGCGGTCCCGCTCCGAGGCGCGCGCGGCCCGCCTTCAATGCCTCCCTCCTCCTCCTCCTTACTTTCTTCTCTCCTCCTTCCTTCCTCTTTCATTCCTCCTTCACTTCCCTCTCTCCTTCTCCCCTCCTCTCCTCCCTCCCTTCTCCTTCTCCTTCCTCCCTCCCTCCTCCCTCCTTCCTCTCTCCTTCTCCCCTCCTCCCCTCCCTCCCTCCCTCCTCTCCCCTCCTCCTTCCCTCTCTCTCCTTCTCCCCTCCTCCTCCTCCTCCTCCTCCTCCTCCTCCTCCCCTCCTCCTCCTCCCCCCCCTCCACCCCCCCCACCCACCGCCCTTCGCCCTATTAACTGGCTGGCGCGCAAGACAATCCACCTCACAAACAAGGATATAAATACACATAAAAATCGCGAGCAGAGAAAAGGGGAGTTTTCAAGGGCCACTGAGCCGCTCCGCCACAGCCGCCGCCTCTCGCCTCCTCTCGCCTCCTCTCGCCTCCTAGACCCATTATGCGAACCTTCGACCCGCTCCTGCGACGACGTCCGGAGGATTGGGGGAGGGGGGGGGAGGGAGAGAGAGAGAGGTGGAAGAGAAAAAGACGGGGAGGGGGGGGAGAGGGGGAGAGGAGGGGAGGAGGGAGGGAGGGGAGAGGAGGGAGGAGGGAGGAGGAGAGGGAGGAGAGGGAGGAGAGGGAGAGAGAGGAGAGAGAGAGAGAGAGAGAGAGAGAGAAGAGAGAGAGAGAGAGAGAGAGAGAGAGAGAGAGAGAGAGAGAGAGAGAGAGAGAGAGAGAGAGAGAGAGAGAGAGAGAGAGAGAGAGAGAGAAGAGAGAGAGAGAGAGAGAGAGAGAGAGAGAGAGAGAAGAGAGAGAGGGAAGAGAGAAGAGAGAGAAGAGAAGGAGAAGAGAAGAGAAGAGAAGAGAAGAGAAGAGAGAGAGAAAGAAAGAAAGACGAAAAGGGGAAGGAGGAGGAGAGGAAGAAGGGGAGACAGGCAGGACAGACACATAGAGAGGGTCGCTCCATGCAACCCTCTGACAGCTATATTCCCTCGTGTCCTTTTTTCCTTATTTTTCCCGAAGCTAAATCATGGGTGGTAGGGGAAGGGGGGTAGGATGGGGTAGGAGTAGGAGAAGGAAGAGAGGAGGAGGAGGAGAGATAGGAGGAGAGGAGGATTATGCGAGAGGAAGGGAGAGTGACGAGGAGTAGGAAAAGGAGGAGGAGAGGAGGAGGAGGGAGAAGGAGGAGGAGGGAGGGGGACAAAGGAGGAGGAGGGGTTATGGTCATTATGGCGACAACTGTGGCGGGATTCATAATGGTCTAGTAACTGTAGGTGAGGTTGGAGTCTGGGCCCTGAGTCGGGGTCGGCGGGGGTCGGGGGTCGGGGTAAGGGGTCCTGAGAGTCGGGGGTCGGGGTCGGGGATGGCGTCGGGGTCCATAAAGGCGGCATGAACGTTTAGGGGGGGGAAGAGGAGGAAGGGGAGAGAGGAGGGAGGGACGAGATGCAGTGAAGAGAGAATCATGTAGAGGTAAAAAAAAGAAAAAAAAAAAGAACATGCATGAAGCAAGAATGAATACTGATGCAAGAGTAGATTTCTTAAACAAATCTAACATATATGATGGATGTATATACTGTTAAAGATGTTATATATATGTGACTATCTATCTACATCTATATCGATAATTCTTTCTATATTTCTATATCTATAAGGAGGGATGGAGGAGGGAGAGAGAGAAGAATAATTGAGTGAGAGAGAGAGAGAGAGAGAGAGAGAGAGAGAGAGAGAGAGAGAGAGAGAGAGAGAGAGAGAGAAGAGAGAGAGAGAGAGAGAAGAGAGAGAGAGAGAGAGAGAGAGAGAGAGAGAGAGAGAGAGAGAGAGAGGAGAGAGAGAGAGAGAGAGGGAGAAGGAGAGGGGTGAGGAGAGGTGAGAAGAGGAAAGATATGAGGAGAAAGAGGAAGATAAATAAGATAAGATAAGATAAGAGAGAGAAGAGACTGGAGAGACGAGACAGAAGGAGAGAGAGGAGAAAGAAAGGGTAAGGGAAGTAGGAAGAAAGAGATAAGAAAAAGGAGAGGGAGATAGGAAAAAGTACTTGGGAAATAGGAGATAGAGAAAAGAAGACAAGACTGAAGAGAAGAGAGACAGAAGCGCCTGACACACACAACGAAAGGGAGCGACAGGAACACACGAAAAGAATTACGAGAGAAGGGAAGGGGTGTAGAGATGGAGGAGCAAGAGCTCTCTCCCTCTTCCCTCTCTCTCTCTCTCTCTCTCTCCCTCCCTCCCTCTTCTCTCTCCACTCCCCCTTCTCCTTCTCCCCTCCCTCCCTCTCTCTCTCTCTCCCTCTCCACTCCCTCTCCTCTCCCTCCCTCCCTCCCTCCCTTCCGCCTCGCTCCGTCTCTCTCCTCCCTCCTCCTCCTCCTCCCCCCTCCATCCCCCCCCCTCCTCTCCCCTCCCTCACCCCCCTCCTCTCCCAGCCCAGCCGTGTATTCCAGTAAAAACACAGCTCTTGAGGACCCCCGTGCAAGGGCCCTCCGCTTCCTCCTCGACGTCTGGACTGTCAAATGCCGCCGTCGCCACCGATATCCGAGACGCACGCACGCACGCACGAAAGAAAGAACGAACGAAAGAACGAAAGCCTCTGCCGCGACTTTGATCTTCCTCCCGAGTGCCAATAATGGGAATAAGAGAATACGGGGAAACCAAAACAAAAGAAAAAGTCAAGAGAGAGAGAGTGAAAAAAAAATGTCAATGGCTGTTTATTTTTTTTTTTTTTATTTTTTTTTTTCTCTCGGCAAGTCGAGAGGAATGAATAATGATACTTGGCTTTTAGTAAGAGTGTATTTAACGCATAGTAGTCCTACATGTTTACACATTGCTGGTGTCAAAACCTTTATATTCCTGTACAAACTTAACAAACTTTTGCTTCCCTCTTTGTTGTCATTTCGTCTGTCCGTTTCGTTATGTTCAAACCATTAATTTTCCCTTTTTTTCGTTATCCCCCCCCCCTTTTCCGTAAGTTCCGTTGTTTTAAATTCCACCTAATAAGAAAGAGAAATAAGGAACAAAAAAAAGAAATACTGTAAGTTCAATTGTTTGAAATTCCACCCAAGAAAGAAAGAAAGAAAAACAAATAAAAAAAGAAATACTGTATGATCAATTGTCTTAAATTCCACCCAATATAGAAAAAAAGAAAGAAAGAAAGAAAAACAAATAAAGAAAAAAAAGAGAAATACTGTATGATCAATTGTCTTAAATTCCACCCAATAAAGAAAAGAAAGAAAGAAAGAAAGAAAAACAAAAACAAAAAAATACATATACGAAGTCCCGTTGCTTTACGAGACTTTCTGTGGCGGACCGAACGAAGGAACGACACACTTAACGAAATAAGTTTCCTTTCAAGTCGATTTCAGTAAGTACTTCTTCTGTAACGTGGATTCCCGGATTGACGATGGCTGACGTTGCATTCTGTCTGTCTTTTATCTCTGATTTATTTATCTCTTTTTCTTCATCATTTTTTTAATCATTTTCTTCGTCTTATGCAGTTTTTTCTCTTCATCTTTTGCCTACTCCTGTTTCTTTCTCTAACGTTTTATCTTGATATTATTTCATTCTCTTACATTCGAGAGATTCAATTCCCCCTCTCCCTCCCTCCTTTCCTCCTTTCCCCTTCTCCCTTCCTCTTCCCTTCTTCTCCCTCCCCTCCTTGCCTTTTCCTCCCTTCCCTCCTTCCCTCCTTCCCTCCTTCCCTTCTTTCCCTCCATCCCTTCCCTCCTTTCCCCTACTCTCTTCACCACCTTTCCCTCTTTGCCCTTCCCTCCTTGCCCTTTCCCTCTTGACCACCTTTCCTCCATCCACTTTCCCTCCAGCCCATCACGTCGTCACGCCCACGCCTTCCTCACGCCCACTAAATATCAATCAGACGCGAGTTCCTAGTGGCGTTGAGGAGGAGAGGGTGGGGGGAGGAGGAGGAGGAGGAGAGGAGAGGAAAAGGAGGAGGAGGAGGAGGAGGAGGAAAGGAGGAGGAGTAGGAAGAGGAGGAGTATGTGAGGGAGGAGAAGGAGGAAAAGAGGAGGAAGAAGGAGAGGAAGAATAATAAGAAGAGAAAATGAAGAAGGAGAGAGCTCAAGAGAACGGGAAAGTTTAAAAGGGAAGACGTGAGAGGAGGTGAGAGAGAAAGAGGAGGGAGGAGGGAGAGATCGAACGCGAGATAGCGAGAAGAGATCGAAAGAGCGAGACAACGAACGAGAAACAGCGAGAAAGAGGAGACAGAGAGACAGAAGAGATAGAAAAAAAAGAACCAGCCAACGCTCTGTGCACGGAGGACGTCCACTCGAGGGCCCCCTTCACCTCCGTCGGCACCGTAGAAGGCTGTCATCCTTCCCTTGGCTCGCGGAGGGCCCTTCACGCGCACTCGCCCCCGCACGCCGCCCCTCGGATGCTCAATGAATTTCTCGAGGGCATCGATGGCGAAGGAGATAATAGGGGGTGGAGAGAAAAGGGGGAAAAGGAAGAGGAGATGGAGGGAGGAGGAGGAGGAGGAGGAGGAGGAAGAGGAGGAGGAGGAGGAGGAGGAGGAGGAGGAGGATGAAGATGGTGGTGGAGGTAGTGATGGAGAAGGAAGGAGAGAAAAAGGAGGTACAAGAGGGAGGAGGAGAGAGAGAAGAGAGAGAGAGAGAGAGAGAGAGAGAGAGAAAGAGAGAGAAGAGAGAGAGAGGAGAGAGAGAGAGAGAGAGAGAGAGAGAGAGAGAGAGAGAAGAGAGAGAGAGATGAGAGAGAGAGAGAGAAACTGAAAAAGAAAGGAAGAACTAAGACAGACAGACGAGACAGAGAGAGAGAAAACAAGATCATATCCTCCTCCTTCGCATCCTGTTCACCTTCGAAAGAGGGAAGTTGGGGAAGGGGGAAGGAAAGAGGAGGAGGAGGAGGAGGAGGAGGAGGAGGAGGAGGAGGAGGAGGAAGTATAGCGTGTGGGTGAAGTGTTACTTGAGGCTCCTTCTACTTTTTCATCTATGTTCTTAAAACCTCATTCCGTGAGTGATGTTACAGGGGATATTGCCGTTGTCAAAAGTGAAAAGTAAAAATATTTTGAAAAGTGAAAAAAGGGCAAAAAAATCCTTCAAAATACATTTAAGAACCTAAGAGATAGTGGAAAAAAGTTAAGAAAAAAAATAAATATACAAAAAGATTGTCAAAAGTGAAAAGTAAAACGATTTTAAACAGGAAAAAAAAGAAAAAAATACCTTCAAAATACACATAAGAGCCAAAGAGATCAAGGATAAAACAAAACAAAATAGGGAAAGAAAATAAGTAACAAAAAACAAAAACAAAAACAAACAAACGGACGCCAGAGTAAGATCTCAAGTGCGCATAAGTGTGTCTTTATGAGGTATTACAGGTAGAGAATGTTAAGACGCGTTGTTTCGTATCTAAAACAAAGAACAAATATTTTCCCTTCCGTCCTTTGAAGAATGTACGTCATATCCACGTCCACGTCTTTAATGTCTGTTTTCGTTCTTCTGTTTTTTTTTTCTCTTCGTTCTCTCTTTTTCTTTCTTTTTTTCGTTCGTCTGTGTGATTTTTCTCTCTTTCTCTCTTCTCATTTTTTCTTTTTTTTCGTTCGTCTGTGTTTTATCTCTCTCTCTCTTTTTCTTTCTTTTTTTCGTTTGTCTGTGTTTGTTTTCTCTTTCTCTCTTTTCCTTTCTTTCTCTTTTTCGTTTGTCTGTGTTTTTTTTTTCTCTCGTTCTTTTCTTTTTTATCGTTTGTCTGTGTGTGCCCTTTTTCTTTCTCTCTTTTCTCTTTTTTTATCTTATCTTTCTTTTCTTTTCTTTTTTGTTTGTCTGTACTTCTGTCTCACCGGCTAAGTACGCACCCCCCCCCTCTCTCTCTCTCTCTCTCCTTAATTAACATCGTCTAATAATTTAAAATTACCCAGAGATAATTAACGCTTAATTATTCCTTATCATCAATCAGCTAATTGTATATCCTGACAAACGAAAAGACTTTCCACGAAAATTTTCCCAAAAGAGACGAAGGACAGAAAAGAAAAGAGAAAATATTTACGTCAATCTCCATAATTTACGTAAAAATAGGAGAGAGGAAGAGAGCGAGATAAGAGAGAGATAGAGAGAGAGAGAGAGAGAGAGAGAGAGAGAGAGAGAGAGAGAGAGAGAGAGATAGAGAGAGAGACAGACAGACAGACAGAAAGAGAGAGAAAGCGCGCGACAGTCAAATCCATTAAAAAAGAGAAAATGGAAAAGAAAGACTATAAAAGAGAAAAAGAAAAGAGTACCAAGCCCAAATCCTCCTGAAGCGGCGGCGCCCCCCCTCGCCCCTCCTCCAATCACGCCCCCAGACCCTCCAATCCACCCCGACCGGCACGCCCTTCTCGTCCCAGCTGACGGGCAAGGGGCAAGGTGTACGGACGGAGAAAGGTGTACTGGGGCAA